CATCATCTATCACCACAAATTATATTAAGATTCGATATATGCTTAAATAAATCAATTAATTATTTAAGGATATATATAATATTTTGTAAGTGTATGCAATCATTATTTATTTTGTAAGTGTATGCAATAAATTTTAAATTTGTATTGTAGAATTAAACAAAATCCAAATTTTTAGGATGTTCCAATCCGATTTCATTTGAATTGCAAATTAATATCCTGACTCTATTTTATGTTTAAAAAAAAATTAAACTAAAGAAAGTAATAGCCAAATGATAAGGGATTATTAAATTTAATTTTCAATTTTGAATTGGACCTGATTTCTATGCAATCAAATTATTTTTTTTTAATAAACATGATCTGTTGCATCTCAGGTAAACATACAAGTTATAGTATTTTGCCTAATTCGAAATTCTCGATTTTATGATAGACATATTTTTTTAATAAAAAATGAAAGAATTTTCACTTTTACGAAATTGGCATGTCGAATTTTACATAATATTACCCGATTTTTATGCACTTCGATTTTTTTATTAAACAATTAATCTGTTCCAAATAGTAAAAGATAAATGTGATACTACCTCCTATTCTTTTTTAATGTCATTTTGACTTTATCAACTATTAACAAAATAACTGTCGTTTCGGATATTTTGAGCATATTTTTCCATTATTATCCTCATTTAGCTAATAAATAAAATATTACGCTTTTTCATATTCACTCTTTATCTTTTTTCAAAATATTCATTTCTATCTTCTTTAAAGAGGATTATTATGGGCCAAAAAAATTAATGTGCAACTTCTCAAAACGACAATTATTATAAATAGGAGGGAGTAATATTTTGCCTAATTCGAAATTTTCGATTTTGTGATAATCATTTTTTTAATAAAAATGAGAAAGAACCTTGACTTTTGCAAAATTGTAAGCATCAGCCAAAATTTACCTAAATTAAATCCACAAAAACCATGAATTTAGGGTGCATGTATAGCTGATTGATTTTTTATGAATAATTAAAAAAACAACCAAAAATAGAATACAGTAAATGTTGGTTGACTTTTCTTGTTACTATTTTACAGATTAAGGGGGAGGGTTTCTCGCGAAGGGATAATCGCTAAACTTGTCAAACATGTTTTGATACCAAAAAAAATAGAAAAAATAAAAACAAATATTTATTGTCAAACAACGGTTTTGATAAACTAGAAAAAGGAAAAAGAGAAACAAATCTTTACAAAATTAATGAGCCAAATTTTTTGCCTATTCAGATTTGTCCAACAATTACTATATGTAAGATATATTTAATGATTTTGGCGAAAAAAAGTTTCTAAATTTGTAAAAAGATTATTCTTTTTATATAATGATTATATTAAAAAAAAGTATATTTGATCACATATGCTTATAGTGGTTTATGTAACGATATTTTTGTATTAGTTAATATGTATAGAAATACATAATTCACTTATTTATTATATAAAATGGGTGTAACAACACAAATGTATGTTTATCAAAATAAAGTATATTTTTTAAAATATAAAATAATATTATTGTTATCATAAATAAGAAAATAACATTAATATAAATATTATTATTTTCTATATTATAGTGATAAATGATAATATAAGATAATAATGTCATTTCATTTCGGTCTTATTCCTTCTGCATATCAAACGGATTAATGATAAAACTTGCGTTTCTTCAACTCATTTCATTCCTATCAAATTCCATTCGATTATACCAATCATGTCATTAATGTAGGAGTAAAACTAATCTTTTGATCAATCTAAAGATGAAGAATACTTATTTTTAGTCTCGTACATTCAATGTAGAATTAAAATGGACTAGTGCGGTACCCGTGCAATGCACGGGCTAGTTTTATTAATTAAGGTAAACATTTAGATTTGGATGATTGGAAAAACCGTAAAACGCATGTATTGGAATAAATAAAATGTAACTTTTACATTATTAAACACATCCTTGTACACAACATTATTTGTTTGGTCTTTTGGTTCATCATCTATCACCACAAATTATATTAATATTCGATATATGCTTAAATAAATCAATTAATTATTTAGCAGGATATATATGATATTTTATAAGTGTATGCAATCATTATTTATTTTGTAAGTGTATGCAATAAATTTTAAATTTGTATTGTAGAATTAAACAAAATCCAAATTTTTAGGATGTTCCAATCCGATTTCATTTTGAATTGCAAATTAATATCCTCACTCTATTTTATGTTTTTAAAAAAATCAAACTAAAGAAAGTAATAGCCAAATGATAAGGGATTTTTAAATTTAATTTTCAATTTGGAATTGGACCTGATTTCTATGCAATTAAATTATTTTTTTTAATAAACATGATCTGTTGCATCTCGGTAAACATACAAGTTATAGTATTTTGCCTAATTCAAAATTCTCGATTTTATGATAGACATATTTTTTTTTTTATAAAAAATGAAAGAATTTTCACTTTTACGAAATTGGCATGTCGAATTTTACATAATATTACCCGATTTCTATGCACTTCGATTTTTTAATAAACAATTAATCTGTTCCAATTAGTAAAAGATATATGTGATACTACCTCCTATTCTTTTTTATATGTCATTTTGACTTTATCAACCATTAACAAAATAAATGTCGTTTCGAATATTTTGAACATATTTTTCCATTATTATCCTCATTTAGCTAATAAATAATATTACGCTTTTTCATATTCACTCTTTATCTTTTTTCAAAATATACATTTCTATCTTCTTTAAAGAGGGTTATTATGGGGAAAAAAATTATTGTGCAACTTCTCAAAATGACAATTATTATGAATAGGAGGGAGTAATATTTTGCCTAATTCGAAATTTTCGATTTTGTGATAATCATTTTTTTAATAAAAATATAAAAAAAAATGAGAAAGAATCTTGACTTTTGCAAAATTGTAAGCATCAGTCAAAATTTAACTAAATTAAATCCACAAAAACCATGAATTTAGGGTGCATGTATAGTTGATTAATTTTTTATGAATAATTAAAAAAAACAACCAAAAATAGACTGTAATAAATGATGTGTGCATGTGAGACTCATTCCTAGCCACTAGATTGGTACATGATGTGTGGCCAAGATTTAACTCTTCATTTAAATAATAATTATTTATTTTTATTACTTAATTCTTTATTTTTATTATTTAAAAATTATTTTCACAATTGACCATTGACTCCCGCGTTGACCGTTGACTCCGCGTTGACCATTGACTTCCGGCATTGATTGTTGACTTTCGGTGTTGACTTCCGACATTGACCTTTGAATTCCAGCGTTGACCACTGACTTCCGGCGTTGACCTGTTGACCCCTAGTATGCATTATGTATAAAGTAAATATGCATACGGTACAATGCACTTAATATGAACTAAATATGCATAAGATATGAATTATACATGTCATCCTTTTGAACTAAATATGCAACAATAATATCAACTATGTATGCACTATTTATGTACTAAATATGCACATTTAACTAACGAAATATGCATCATGAATGAACTAAATATGCAACGAAAATATGCAATAAAATATATATTTTATACAATTAAATTAAATATAATAGTTAATTCTTTTTATTATATAATTAATTTTAATTTTAAATTGATTAATATAAGTTATTGATCTACACAAATAAATTGTTATGATTGGATCTCAAATAAACTAGGTATGCACTGTTCATGAACTATATATGCATTTCGTAAGAACTAAATATGTATAATGAATTAACTATATATGCATCATAAATTAATTATATACGCATCATTATATATATGATTTAAATATAACAAGTATGCATTTCGTATTAACTAAACATGCTTCATAAATTACCTAAATATGCATAATAAATTAACTAAATATGCATCATAAATTATCTATACAAAATGTACATTTTATTGCATATTTTCGCTGCATATTTAGTTCGTTCATGATGCATATTAAGTTCATAACGGATGCATATTTAGTTAATAACATGTGCATACTTAGTTGATATTATTAGTGCATATTTAGTTCATAAGGACTGCATGTGTAATTCATACCCCATGCATATTTAGTTCATATCAAATGCATGGTACTCGATTCATATTTACTCCATACATATTGCATACCAGGGGCAACAGGTCAACGCGGAAGACAACGGTCAGTGCTGGAGTCAACGCCGAAAGTCAACGATCAACGCCAGAAGTCAATGGTTAACGTCGGAGTCAACTAATAATTATTTTATTATTTAATTAATGTATATTTTAATTTATTTTGATCTCGACAAAATGAGTGGCTAAGATTGAGTCTCACATACTCATTTAAGGAGTGGTCTCATTGCATCCACCCCTATATAAATATAAATATATATATATATATATATATATATATAGATATTTTAATCAATTTAGTCCTATTTTATGACCATATATCGAATCCCGGTACTTTGTCAATTTAGTTCAACAAAATCTTTATTAATTATAGGAGGTTTCATTGAATTTTTACAAAATAAGGAAAATTTAGGTATTGTCTCTTGGGACTTTCTAAGATTTAGATATTGTATCTTGGGACTTTGTAAGATACGCTCACACTGTCACACATAAGTAATTCTAACTATTGATTAAATGATTTTGCTATAAAGTCAACAGTCGGCTCCATAGAGTAGTCAACTTTCTATATATACAACAATTAAATTTACCATATTATCTGATTACTTAAATAATACTAATATAATTTTATTAATATGGTATGTTTTACTTGTTGTATAGAAAGTTGGCTCCACTATAGAGTCAACCATTGGCTTCATAATAGCCAGAGCTCAATAAGTTCCTAAAAAACCAAAAACAAAAAAAATAATAATAATAAAATAAATAAATAAATAAATAGCTACAATAATCCTACAATAATATAACTTGTTAAAAATGAAAATCAGATTTTCCTTTTTCTTTTTATTGATGACAAAAATACTACAAAACTCCATCTTTACAAAATTTAATTCCGTAGGCAATTTCTACGAATACCACTCTTCACGGACTTGGCCCTCATTAGCCCCTTCCTCTTTCTCCTCGCCTCAGCAAATCCAGCCCGTCTATCAGCTGCGGCCTGACCCGCATCCAATGGCTTCAGTGAATCCAGCCCAAAAGCCTCAGCTGCAGGGAAATTCAGATCGATTCCGAGTGGGCCAACATATTCCGCGCACGCAGGCCCACTATCGGACGCATGACAATCTCGTGTCTGTTCAGGCCCAATTGAGTAGTAAAACTCATGCTGGGCCGTCGGATTGGGAATGTGAGGATGCTGATTTGGACGGGTAATGTTGACCCGATGATCTCCGGTTGGATCCGCTCCGAAATTATTAACACTCCTTATTTCCAATCGGGGCTCTTCTTTTATTTGGAATTTATTACTCATCTGTGTGATGAATTAATAATAATTAAGAAAATGTAATTAAAAATTAAATGAACCATGAACTAATAAATGCAATTAAGAATTAGCTTAAATGCATAATTAGTAATTACCTCCTGTTTAATTGCTTTTAGTTTAGAATTATAGGACTTCAAATTGCTGTAGAACTTTTTCACGTTTTCCACCTCCTGATGAGAAATTTATAATTCAAAAAAATAATAGTAATAAATAAAATTC